CACACACACACACACACACACACACACACACACACACACACACACACATCCAGCCAGTCTGTAAATGGCTTGGTCCTGTATCTAAAATATACCCATTATCATCAACCATCACCACCTCAGTCACTCCCACCCTGGTCCAAGTCACTTGGGAGGCTCACAGGATCTGCCCTCGACCTCTCTGAACCCCCATCTCTGCCCCCTCACCACTCCCCCAGGCCATGCTCTGCTCTTCATTAGTCCTCCAAGAGGGAAACTCTACTCCAGCCTCAGGGCCTTTGCATGAGCTTATTTGTTTATTGCCTGTCTCCCCACTAAAAATGTACATAAAAGAAGGGATTTGTATATTTTCTTTACTGCTGTATCCCCAGAATCTAGAACAGTGCCTGGCACATAATAGGTTCTCAGTAAGTAATTACTCAACAAATTAATGAGTGCTAACGCCCCCACCCCCCAACACACACTCTTCTGTTCACTTCCTAGCTGTCCGAATTTGGGCAAATGAATTAACATCTTGCCCCTCCTGTTTTCTCACTTGCAAAGAGTAACATGGCACAGCAGTAGTAAATCACATACCACAGTGATGCCCATGTAGATTGCTTTGGGTAGTATGCACATTGTAACAATATTAATTCCTTGAATCCATGAGCATGGTATATCTTTCCTTTTATTTTTGTCATCTTCAGTTTCTCTCATCAAAGTCTTATCAGGGTACAGGTCTTTCACATTTATGGTTAAATTTATTCCTAGTTTTCTTCTTTTTGATGCAATTGTAAATGAGATTGTTTGTAAATTTCTCTTTCTGATAGTTTGTTATTCATGTATAGAAATGCAACAGATTTCTGTATATTATTTTTGTATCCTGCAATATTCCTGTATTCAGTTTTTAGTTCTAAAAGTTTTTTGGTGGCATCTTTAGGGTTTTCTATGTATAGTATCATGTCATCTGCAAATAGCAATAGTGTAACTTCTTCTGTTTTAATTTGGATGCATTTTGTTTCTTTTTTTAATGTTTTTTTTAAAGTTTATTTATTTTATTTATTTATTTTTGGATCTGTTGGGTCTTTGTTGCTGTGCGTGGGCTTTCCCTAGTTGCAGCGAGTGGGGGCTACTCTTCGTTGCAGTGCGCGGGCTTCTTATTGCGGTGGCTTCTCTTGTTGCGGAGCACGGGCTCTCGGCCCGTGGGCTTCAGTACTTGCAGCACACAGGCTCAGTAGTTGTGGCACACGGGGTGGGCTTAGTCGCTCCGCGGCATGTGGGATCTTCCCGGAGCAGGGCTCGAACCCGTGTCCCCTGCATTGGCAGGCGGATTCTTAACCACTGCGCCACCAGGGAAGTCCCTGCACTTTGTTTCTTTATCATGCCTGATTGCCATGGACGGACTTCCAATACTATGTTGAATATATGTGGGGAGAGTGGGCATATATGTCTTGTTCCTGATCTTAAAGGAAATGCTTTTAGCCTTCACCATTGAGTATGGTTTAGCTGTGGGTTGGTCATATAGGGCCTATATTGAGTTATGTTCTCTCCATACCCACCTTGTTAAGATTTTGTATCACAGAGGCTGTTGAATTTTCTCAAATGTTTTTTCTGTATCTGTGGAAATGGTCATATGCTTTTTATCCTTCGTTATGTTAATGCAAATGTATCACGTTGATTGATTTGTGGATACAGAAGCATCCTTGAATCCGTGGAATATATCCAACTTGATCATGGTGTATGATCTTTTAATATATTGTTGAATTTGCCTTGCTAATATTTTGTGGAGGATTTTTGCATCTATGATCATCAGGCCTATAATTTTTTGTAATATCTTTGTCTGGTTTTGGTGTAGAATGAGTTTGGAACCATCTCTTACTCCTCAATTTTCTGGAATAGTTTGAGAAGAATAGGCATTAACTCTTCTTCACATAAAAGCTGAACAAACTCATTTTCCTAATTTTTTTTCCTCTTCTCAGTGTAAGATGAGACGTGGGAAAAAACTGCCCCCACAATATGCCCTGGAGCTTCTGACAGTCTATGCTTGGGAGCAAGGAAGCATGGAAACAGGATTCAACACAGCTCAGGGATTTCAGACTGTTTTGGAATTAGTCCTGAAGCACCAGCACCTCTGCATCTACTGGGAAAAGTATTATGACTTTGAAAACCCTATGACTGGACAATACCTGAGAAGGCAACTTGCAAAACCCAGGTACTCTATCCCCACATGGCTTAGCTCCCCACATAAATGAACCCATGAATACAGCTGTGGCACCTTGGAAATGTAGGAAGTGAGAGGGATCCATATTTATTGATCATCATCTATTGTCAATCACTGTGCTGGGCACTTCACTCCTACCATCTGATTTAAATAATAAATTTAAATAATAACCTCCAATCCAGTGAGGCAGGCAATATGCTAACCATTCTACAGATGACTGAGGTTTGGAGAAATAAGAGCTTGTCCAAACCTTAACAGAAAATGAGTGAAATACCTGAAATTTGACTAAAATAACAATAGCTACAGCAACAATAATGACTGCTCCCAGGAAGTAAGAGCTTGCTGTAAGACCAACACACTCGAACAGAATAGTAAAATTTTGCTTATTAAAACTGACATGTATGGACCCCTTATTATGTTCCAGTTACTGTTCTGAGCACTTCACATGCTTGTCTAGATCCTCATACAGCATGCTTTGAGGTAGGGTTATTCAAATCTCCGCATTTCACTGATGAGGATACTGAGGATTAGAGATTCAGGTGACCTGCCCAAGGTCACACCACTAATAAAGAGCAGAGGTAAGATTCAAACCCAGGTCTATCAAGGCCCGAATGCAAGCCTCCTTCTCCTTGTGTTCAATGCCCACCGTAGGGGAGGGCACTCAGGACACACCCCAGGGAGCAGTGCCCTCCTGGGCCCCTCCTGCTGCCCCGAGTCCCAGTCTGCCCAAGTTGGTATTTTGCTCTGCCAGGAGCTCTAGACCCCCGCAACACAGCCCACATACTCACCTGCCCCTCTCTAACTGTTGCTTTTCAGACCTGTGATTCTGGACCCAGCTGACCCTACTGGAAATGTGGCTGGTAAAGACCCATATAGCTGGCAGCTGCTGGCACAAGAGGCTAGAGTCTGGCTGGGATACTCATGCTGTAAGAATTGGGATGGGTCTCCAGTCAGCACCTGGAAGGTGCCGGTGTGACCTCCTGATTCCCTCATGTGACCTGATATTAATGGCAGGTTGAAATAACAACTTCTAGAAATACTGCATTAAATCAAATTGAATTTCATCTCTGTCTTTGTACTCTTTTACTGTGGTTACTAGAAAATGTAAAATTACACATGTGTTCTGCCCCAGAATGAATCACCGGATTAGACAATAGGCTTACCAACTCACATTGTCATTTACAAAAGTCCAGTCAATAAAAACTCCCTTAAGGAAGCACAAAAGATCAAGCATGTTCTTACCACCTGAGTCACTGGTCACGTGTGTAGCTGGGAAACAGTCTTTGGCTTCTCCATATTACTGTTCCTCCTTTGAGTCCTCCAGCATCCCTGTGAGATGGGTCTTATTCTTGTTCTCATAATAATACACTGAGATTTGGGCACTTGCTTGAGTCGCCAAATATTCCAGCAGCATTTGTTGAAGGGACCATCCTTTCCCCACTGTTCTGTAAAAGCCACCTCTAACATATGTCCAGAGCCCGTCTGTGTGTGAGTCTGTGCAGTTCCATTGGTCAACTTTGGCATCCTTGAGTTAATAGTACCTTGACTACTTACTCTAGCCTGGTGTTAATTCTTAATATCTTGTAGAAAACTCTGTTTTTATCCAAACCAATGTCTTCTCTTGGCTCTATTTCTATGTTAATATTATATTCTGTTTGTGAAATTTCACCCAAAATACGGGGAGGCATTTGATTAGAATTCCATAAATTAGTTCAGGGAAGATGACATCTATTGAGAATCCCAATCCACAAACTTGGAGCTTCTTTCCATTAATTTTCCTCTTCTTGAATTACTCTGTAACTATGTTTTATAGTTTTTCCCTGCATTGGTCTTAAGTGTGTTTTGTCATATTATTCCTAGATACTTGTTTTTATGTTATTGTACTTAGTAGGTTTTCTTTAATTTCATTTTGTGATGGTTGGTTTCATGAAGACCTAAATGTTTTCAGTGGGTATATATGATTAAAGCACGGTGAGCGAGTGAGCTTTATACTTTTCTGAATTTTGTGATTTTTGTTTTGCTGTAAATTTATACTGCTTGAATGACCACAAGAAACAGTAAAGCATTTTGTTTCAAAACCTTTTGTGATAAGTATTTGTCAGCTGAGCTCTGATAGTTTGGGCAAAGCTGGCAGACCCAGGCGACAGAAGGCTCAAGGGTGCTGCAGTTTGGAGCTGCTGGCTCATGAGGTTCAGAAGCAGAGGAGCAAGTGTGTTAGGGGTGACGGAAATGCTCTCATGAAATTTGAAGCACCCGAGTCATAAATTCCTGACTGCCCAGAGCTGAGTCCCCATTCTGGGCAACTTCCTGCTGAAGAAATGAAACTGGGAAGAACTAAGGTTGAAGCAACAGATATGAGGGTGGAGTTCTCTGAGCCGCCCTGGGCACTCAGCATCGTGGTCAGGTGCCCTAGCCCCACCAGGGGGTGCAGTTATTTTTTTCATTATTATTAACTTTTATTGGAGTGTAGTTGCTTTATAGTGTTGTGTGGGGTGCAGTTTGATGTACTACCTGCCTTCCACCCTCCCAGCCACATGGAGTCTCAGCCTTTGTCCTGTATCAGGGCTCCTTTCTCTCTCTGTTCATATTTCCGAGCAGTTTGAGAGCCCGCACAGTTTGAGAGCCTTACCAAAATAAGATGTTCCTAAAAAATGGGGAGGAGATCACATTGGGTGGGCCAAAAAGTACCTTCGGTTTTCAAGTAAAAATAAAAGACCCCTTTTTCATTTTTACCAAGAACTTTATTGAACAACGTAATCACCCTTTTGTTCCACTACCTTCTTCCATTTTTCAGGCAACTTCATAATTCCATCTTTCCAAAACTTTTTATCTTTTTGAGCGAAGAACTGTTCCAGGTGCGAACCCACACCCCCTGCACTGGAAAGCAAAGTCTTAACCACTGGACCGCGAGGGAAGTCCCTGTCCTTTATTTTTGCTCAGCATTTGATACCTTTCAAATCCCCTTTTGTGTCTCTTCTTTTCAGATTATCCTCAGAAGCAGTTCTGTGAGTGAGAAAAGTTTGCCCTCTCTACAGATTGGGACATTGAGGCATGCCCAGTTACACACGTGTTCAAAGCTGCACAGCTAGGGACAGCTCGCAATTTTTCTATCGACTTAAAAATGCCTTAAGAAATAGTCTATTAATCAAAAAGTAAAACCATTATAGTCATGCCATTAAAAAAGAGAGAGAGAAGGAAATTATGTTTGTGTGTATGTGTGTGTTAACCTAGAAAAACATCTGAAAAGATCTGCACCAAAGTAGTTGTAGTCTTTCAGGTTTAGGATCAGGGATGGACTTTATGCTTTTGGATTTTTCTGACCATTGCTGTTTGCAATATACATGTACTGCTGCAAAAATCACAGGAGACAATAAAACAATTTTGTCAGCAACGAAAAAAGAGGAAAAGGAAACCAAAAGTGTGTTTTTACTTATGATTACTCTTGGGTGAAGTACTAACTTGGCTTAAAAAGTACCTTTTCAGAGTACAGTCTGAAGAAAGACCAGATGTTCTAGGTTGCCTGTTAAAGGCAGGGAGTAATTCTGGAATACTGGAGGAAAGAGCTGGGAGACTGAACAGGGTTCAGAATCAAAGGAATGTTTGATATGCTGAGAGACAAAGACTCAGGGCAAAGCTCCTCCCTTACAAGGAAACGAAACCAACAGCAGCCCAGACTCAGGGCACACCTCCTCCCTTCCAATGAAATGAAACTAACAGCCTCCTGGACCCAGGCAGCAGAAGAGATAGAAGCTAAAAGGTTTTCCCCTCCAGCTCTGCCCTCTCTGGCTCTCCTGTCCCAGCATCATGATGGAGCTCAGTGATACCCCGGCCAAGTATCTAGACAAGTTCATCGAAGACCACCTCCTGCCAGACGAGGATTTCTACACACAGGTCAATGAAGCCATCCACATCATCTGCAGTTTCCTGAAGGAGAGATGTTTCCAAGGGGCCTCCCACCCTGTTCGGGTGTCCAAAGTTGTGAAGGTGAGTCCAGAACTGCCTGGCTGGGGAGAAGGGGGCTGAATGAGCAAGTGTTTCCACAGAGACAGAGAGCAAAAGGTTGAGATCTCTGGGGCTGGTGGTTTCTGATTTATCCATGCCAAAACTATAACCACAGCTTGTGAAAGTAGCTTCTGGGGTGAGGGCCTCCACCTGTAAGTTTTTAACAAATGCCCAGGTCAAGTTTATAAACCACCTATGTCACGTCCACCACAGAGATAGGCAAACTGAAGCCCAGCTGTATCAATAATCCGCTAATCATTGACCAGGCTGGGAACTCACCATTCCTGCAGATTCGTGAGCTGGTTAAGAGTATAAGTTTTGAAAGCAGATAGCACCTGCTGCTGTGAAATCTTGGGTGAGTCACTTAACCTCTCTGTGCCTCAGTTTCATCATCCATAATTCCCAGTACTTTGCAGGGCTTGCAGATCAAGTAAAATAGGCCATGGGCCAGTTTACAGTATTAATTATATAAGGTCGTAAAGAACAGGGGGTAAAGAACACAGACTGAATTGCATCTCTGCCACCTACTAGCTGTGTGATTGGGCTGATACATAATCTCTCTCAGCAACTGTTTCCCCATCTGGAAAATGGGAACAGATAATAATAGTATCACAGAGTTCTTGTGAGCATTCTAGGAGTTAAGACTGGTAATGCCTTCAGAACAGTGGCTAGTACTCAAAATGTTAGTGATTGTTCTCAGCATTTTATTTAGGGAGGCTCTTCTCAATGATAAATATCAGTTCTCATTCTCATCACCTTTTTCAGGGTGGCTCCTCAGGCAAAGGCACGACCCTCAGGGGCCGATCAGATGCTGACCTCGTCGTCTTCCTCACCAATCTTAATAATTTTGAGGAACAACTTCAGCGCCGAGGAGAATTCATCAAGGAAATTAGGACACAGCTGGAAGCCTGTCAAAGGGAGGAAACATTTGAAGTGAAGTTTGAGGTCCAGAAACAGCAATGGGAGAATCCCCGTGCTCTCAGCTTCGAGCTTAGATCCCGTGAGCTCCACGAGTGGGTGGAGTTTGATGTCCTGCCCGCTTTTGATGCCCTGGGTGAGCACTCTCAGCCACAAGGTGTTTCAGCCTTTGTCCTATGTCAGGGCTTCTTCTGCTCTCTTTTCATGTTTCTGAGCAGAAATCTCTCTCACTTTGAGAGTCTTATTAAACAGGGCATCCCTTCAAGTGGGGAGGAGATCCTAGCATCTCTTCTGGGGCAAGAATGTTTAGGGTCATACTGAGCCACTGCAGTGACATTAACAACAAATTGGTACAATTTGGGAGCAGTATATTTTTATAGAACACCTGCCAAGCTTACTAGTTTTACTCTTGGCAAAGTGTGTGAATCTTCTTTTTCTAAAAATGAGGCAGCGTATGTCTGGTGTAAACACAGTGTGTTAATTTCATCTTTTATCCAAAGCATAAGGAAATATCAAATTTATCTGAGGGTTGGAATCTGTAGACAATCTGCAGGAACATTGGGACAGGAAGCAGTACATCTCTGAGGCTCATTTCCACTGAGTACCTTCCATGTGCAAGGCACTGTTCTATGGCCATAAATGAGACAGACAGGGAACTTCTCTCCTATAGCCTGACAATAATAATTTAAATACCATAAATGAAAGGATAACTTGTTGTGACAAAAACTAAATATGCTGATTCAAAAGAGAATGATGGGGCTTAGAGGGAGTGTTTAGACAGGGCAACAAGGGAGGTGACCGCTGACCCGAGGCCCGAGGGATGAGAGGAAGCCAAACCTGGGAAGATCTGGGGGCTCCAGGAAGAGGAAACAGCAAGTGCAAAGGCCCTGAGACAGGAATGAGCTTGGCATATTTGAAGAAGTGAAATAACCGGGGGAGTAAGTAGCAAAGGGATCAAGGCAAGAGGTGAGACGGCAGAGGTGGCAGGAGACAGGTCACACCAAACCTCCTGGGCCACTGCGAGGACTTTGGATTTTATTCGGATGTCCTGGGAAGCAAGAAGTGGAAGGATCAGGTTTTAAAAGGCCTCTGTGGGTGCTGGGTAGAGAATGGGCTGTGGAGGATCCAGGAAGGAGGCTGCTGCCATCTCTGCTGTGTCCAGGTGAGAGATGATGCTGGCTTGGATGGGGTGACGGCAGTGGAGATGGGAGTGACGAGGACTGGGGATGACCCTCAGGCCTCCTGGCTCTGGGCCTGCTGACCTTTCCACTGCACCCCATGGTCAGTGAGCTTGTCTCCTCAGAGGGATTGAAAGAAACTCAGAGAAAAGCTGACATCTTCACATTATGGATTAATTCCCAACAGGTCAGGTGATCAAAGGCTACAGGCCTGACCCTCAAGTCTACGTCCGGCTTATCCAAAAGTGTGAGTTCCTGGGGAGAGAGGGCGAGTTCTCCCCCTGCTTCACGGAGCTGCAGCGAGCCTTCCTGAAGGAGTGTCCAACCAAGCTGAAGAGCCTCATCCGCCTTGTGAAGCACTGGTACCAAATGGTATGGCATGTCCCATCCAGACAGAGAGCGGAGGAGGAGGAGGAGGAGGGAGAGAAGGAAGAGAGTGAGGACAAGAGGAGGAGGGAGGGGTGGAATAGAGGGAGGGAAGGAGGAGGGGGAGGTGTGGGGAGGAAGCAAGGATGAGGCATCGGGAGGGGGAAGAAGGAAGGGGAGGGGAGGGGAGAGGAGTGGGGAAGAGAAGAAAGAGGATCGGGAGGAGGAGAGGAATCTGAAAGGATGGGGGAGGAAGGAGGGAGATGGACAGAGATGAAAAGAGGGAAAGAGCATGAAGAAGGGGAGAAGTCAGGGAACAAGGAAGGAGAGGATGAGAGGAAGAAGGTGGAAGAGTAGAGGTTGTGGGGAGGAGGGGAAAGGAAAGGGAGAAGAAGGGTAGGGCCCGGGACAGGTGCCAGTGGACTCAGGTGTCTCATTCTTCCTGGTCTTCCCGTATCAGGAAATAACAACTCCACCCTTCCAGTTACTCTGGACAAAACCATGGCTCTTTCTTACCTTTTTCACACACACACACACACACACACACACACACACACACACACACACACA